CCTAATAGTTAAGATTATATTTGGACCTGAAACATCTGCTAGACTCCAGGAAAGGTGGCGTCAATACTGGACCTGAAAGGGCCCAACAAGTTGAATCTGGTAAAGAAACACGCACGCACGCACGCACACACACACACACACGCACACGCTTACAGAAAACTGTAAGTTTATGAATATTTTTTACACTGTGGCCAATATTTTGGGGAAGTCAGCATCACTAAATGATATAAAAGATTTTAAGATCCTCTAAATTTTGCTCCAAGTGTTGTGTTAAATTCAGGATTCTGGACAGACAGCTGCCTGTTTTTCCAGTTCTAGTCATAGTGGTTAACCTAATTGTTTTTGGAGATCCAACAGTGATGTGTGTGTTTTTTTTACTTTTCCATATCCTGTCACCTCAACCAGCTGGGAGAGTCAAGTTGTGGATCATCATGAAGATTTTCAAAAGGTGAGTTTAGATTTCTTGAATGTTTTATTTACTTTAAATGTTCTTTTAAATATATCATAGAATTTGATTGCAATTTGTTTTCAAACATTTATCTTAGTCATGCTGGAGTCTTGAAGAGTTCTTAGAAGAGTATCACCCTATATCCGTGCATCAGGAACCACCAGACGAGCGATCAGCAGCTGCTACATCGTCATGGATAAAAAGGTCATCCTGTGGCTGGGAAGCACTTCATTCACAGGACATGCTTGATGAGATTTCCTAGCTCCAGTTTGTTTTCACACAAGTTTCCAGCATTTATACCTTCATTTAAACTGCTGTGTTTGATATGGAGGACCAAGGAAACACCAGAAGTGAAAGATTTGCACGTCAAGTTGTTTAAAATGTAATTTCAGAAGAAAACTATGCGTTCAGAAGAAAACTGATGAAACATCAAGTTTGGACCAAAGGACTAAAACAGCCTTTTTGAGCACTGGTCATACATATTTTGTTGATACTGTCTGTACTAATAAAACATTTAAAGCATATTTGACATTGTTGCATTTTAAAAACTGAATGAATTGTTGAAGTGGTGAATGTTTTCAAATAAAATGTTTTTTCTTTTGTAATTTACAGTCTATTTGAGTTTTTTACCATATTTACACTCAAGAGAGTTGAATAAAATAATATATTACACCAGGCGGTGTTAAATATAGTTACATTTTTTAACTCTGCCCAGAGTTAAAATTAACCCTTACTTCGGTGTCAATGTGCCAACCCTTTTGAAAGTGTTGATTTAACTCTGTTTTGAGTGGACCCCATGAGACACTTTCAAAGTGTTGAAATTAACACCCATAGAGTTGTTTTGGGTCCCCATATTTTGCTGTGTATATATATATATATATATATATATATATATATATATATATATATAATAAACAAGAGCTCTTTTTCAGAAGGATTTGCTCCAAAACCAAATGTAATTGCATATTGGTATCAATTTGTCACTGATGATGTTTGGAAAAAAAGTCTGGCTTCTGCCCATCAGTATCTCTTGACAAACACAGTGAAAGAGATATCTGTTAATCTTCGTAATAGGTTATATTCTGCTAAAGTTTATTTAAAAGGAGAGATATCGATGTAAGATGTAGCTTTTACAAGCAGAAGCCAGAGACTGTTATTCCTTTATTTTGGCACTGCCCTTGTGTATCTTTTTATTGTTTAATGTGCTTGACTTTTTTGTTAATAATATTGATAAAAATGTTATTTTACATGGAAAGAACTTCTTTTAGGAATTTAACAAAATTCCAGAGACAAATAAAACCACTATTGTTTTAATAAAAATAAATGGGCAAATTACATGTTCATAAATGTAAATTTACAGGGAAAAAAAACATGTTTTAGAGAATTTAAAAATGAAATTTAGTGTTATATTCAATCTATATTGCCCTCAAATTAACACAAAGCCACTCGAGTATCCAAGTTTGTACATTCTTTAATGTATTTCTGTGAAACTATTAGTATTTTCCACTTGAATTTGAAGTAGTTTGTATAATATAATTCTGTACTGAAAATGTTTTCATTGTTCAATAACAATAATAAAAATAATAAATCAGCATAGATCCATTTCTTTTCCCCTGATAATCAGTTTAATTTAATACACAAACAAATAAAGTACATTAAAACGTTAAATTCAAACATTGTACAGGGGCACAGCTGACTTATTCTGGGACACGTCCTCGTTGTTAACCTGTGATGATATACTTATTTGCATATTAAAGCTATTAATAACATTAATTACCACATCAGGCAGTTTTTTTTTTTATCCGTCACATCTGTTGAAATATGGTTTTGTAAATCCACTCTGGCTTCTCAAGAAAGAAAAACAGAAGCAGAAGCAAAACTGTTTCCTGTTCTGTTGATTTTACTACTCTAACTCTTCTTCCTTAGATTTTTTGTCTTGTTTTTAATCCAAATCTTCTTAAATCAAGAAGCATTTTCTAGACAAGCAAAAAAATATTGTCTTATTTTAAGAAATAAAATGCCATAATAAGGAGAGATTGTCCTCAAAATAAGCCAAATAATCAGCCAATGCGGGTTGGCAAAATAATCTTGTTTTCCTTTTGAGATAAGATTATTTTGCTTACCTCATGGGCAGATAATTTAGCTTGTTTTAAGTGGGAAAAAAAACTTATATATATATATATATATATATATATATATATATATATATATATATATATATATATATATATATATATATATATATATATAATATAGATACATATATAAAAACACTGCTTCCTTGTGTGACAACATGGGAAAATCAACAAGCCAGAATCAACAAAAAAGCCAGATTACAATTTGCTAAATTACCCTGTAGAAAAGAATAATATTGGGGACATGTCCTGTGCTCTGATGGAACTAAGATTGGCCATAATGACCAGTGATACATTTAGAGGACAAAGGGGAAAGCTTACAAGCCTAGGAACACCATCCTAACTGTGAAGTATGGGGGTGGCAGCATCATGTTGTGGGGCTGTTTTGCTGCAGGAGGGACTGGTCCACTTCACAGCATAGACGGCATCATGAAGAAAGAACATTATGTTGAAATACTGAAGCAACATCTCAAGACATCAGCCAGGAAATTAAAACTTGGCCACAAATGGGTCTTCCACACAGACCATGACCCTAAGTATACTGCCAAACTAGTTCAAATGTGCTTTAAGGACAACAGAGTGAATGTTTTGGAGTGGCCATCACAAAGCCCTGATCTCAATCCGATAGAAAATTTGTGGGCAGAGTTGAAAAAGCATGTGTGAGCAAGACAGCCAACAAATCTGACTCATTAACACTAATTCTGGGCCAAAATTCCTGCAAACTAGTGAAAAGCTTGTGGAAGGATACCCAAAAACATTTGACCAAAGTTAAACAGTTTAAAAGCAAAGCTAAAAAAATACCAAGGAAATGTGTGTAAATGTTTGACTGTCTAGAAATTAATAACAATAAAACAAAAATTATCTCATCATTCTGGCATTTAGCAAATGTAAATGATTTAGATAATCCTAACGGACTTAAAATAGTAAATGTTTATTATGATTTACCATCAGACATTAAAAAAAAAAAACTGTTATGTTCCTTTTTTTAGAGTGTATGTAAACTTCTGGTTTAAACTGTATATACTCACCGGCCACTTTATTAGGTACACCTTATTAGTAGGACCCCTTTTGGCGTTCAGAACTGCTTTAATCCTCCGTGGCATAGATTCAACAAGGTACTGGAAATTTACCTCAGAGATTTCGGTTCATATTGACATCATAGCATCACGCAGTTGCTGCAGATTTGTCGGCTGCACATCCATGATGCGAATCTCCCGTTCCACAACATCTCAAAGGTGCTCTATTGAATTGAGATCTGATGACTGTGGAGGCCATAAGAGTACAGTGAACTCATTGTCATGTTCAAGAAACCAGTTTGAGATGATTCACGCTTTATGACATGGTGCGTTATCCTGCTGGAAGTGGCCATCAGAAGAAGGGTAAATGTGGTCATAAAGGGATGGACATGGTCAGCAGCAATACTCAGGTAGGCTGTGGCGTTGACACGATGCTCAATTGGTACAAATGTGCCCAAAGTGTGCCAAGAAAATCTCCCCCACACCATCACACCACCACACCACCACCAGCCTGAACCATTTATACAAGGCAGGATGGATCCATGCTTTCATGATGTTGATGCCAAATTTTGACCCGACCATCCGAATGTGGCAGCAGAAATGGAGACTCATCAGAGCAGGCAGCGTTACTCCAATCTTCTATTGTCCAGTTTTGGTGAGTCTGTGTGAATTGTAGCCTCAGTTTCCTGTTCTTAGCTGACAGGAGTGGCACCCGGTGTGGTCTTCTGCTGCTGTAGCCCATTCGCCTCAAGGTTGGACGTGTTGTGTGTTCAGAGATGCTCTTCTGCAGACCTCGGTTGCAACGAGTGCTTATTTGAGCTACTGTTGCCTTTCTATCAGCTGGAACCAGTCTGGCCATTCTCCTCTGACCTCTGGCATCAACAAGGCATTTGCGCCCACAGAACTGTCGCTCACTGGATGTTTCCTCTTCTTCAGACCATTCTCTGTAAACCCTAGAGATGGTTGTGCGTGAAAATCCCAGTAGATCAGCAGTTTCTGAAATACTCAGACCAGCCCATCTGGCACCAACAACCATGCCACATTCAAAGTCACTTAAATCCCCTTTCTTCCCCCTTCTGATGCACAGTTTGAACTGCAGCAGATCGTCTTGCCCATGTCTACATGCCTAAATGCGTTGAGTTGCTGCCATGTGCGTGGCTGATTAGAAATTTGTTTTAATGAGCAGTTGGACCAAATAAAGTGGCCAGCGAGTGTATATAACTGATTTCACAGATTAGAAATCAAGAAGCTTTTTTACAGGGTCTTATCTGTTCTCAAATAATATGTATTTTATATGTAATTATTACAAAATACAACAAAAAAAAAAACAGCCAAATAAACATGAGCCCAGTGTAAACAGCTCTGTCTAAAATGTGTTTCACTATTTCCATTACTCCTCAGGCCATGAAAAGCAGCAGTCTGATCTGCAATCTCAGCCACCGCTTATGTTTTGGGTCATCATCGCCATCTGTGCCGTGGTTTTGCTGGGCTTGATTATGACTTTAATAGTAGTGATTGTCAAGAGAAGAAAGTCCTTCAAAATTCATCCACAGGTAAAAGCTCACTCAGATTTTCTCTCACATTATTATCATTCTGCAGTATGTTTTTAACAGTGTTCTCTTTCTCAGTCTCAGATGACTCACAGAACTGTGCAAAGTTCTTCGACGCCTCCAGAAAACAACACAGAAGCGACAATTTATGATGTTCCTGTCCGACATGTATGTATTACTATGGAATTATGCTTTAAAAATAACCTCATATGTCTAGTATGTGCAGTTAAATGGATAGTACACCCAAACAATGAACACAGTAATGTACTCAATCTTAGTCCATACAAGATGATGATTTTTTTTTTTCCTTCCGTAGCATTAAAGACGATTTTTAGCTGAATCTGTGGTCCTTGGTGATTCATACAAGTCAAAACCATACAAATCATACAAGTCAAAACCCATTCAAAAACGTACAGATAAGTCTAAACAATAGCCATGGCTCCTGATCATACACTGAAATTTTGTGATGCAAAACAAATGGTCTGTGCAAGAAATGAAAAATTATTTACAATATTATTAGCTTGTTGAATTAATAATATGAGCGCACACTTAGATGTGAGTTTATTTATCAGAATTGATCAGAGTCATGTCTACGAGTACAATTTATAGCTGCTGCATCTTGGTCAATCAGAGGTAACAACCATTACCAACATAACAACTGTATGCCCAGACCGTGCATAAAGCTAATAATATTATAAACAATGTTTAATTACGGGTGGCTCAGTGGTTAGCACTGTCACTTCACAGCAAGGTCACTAGTTGAGTCCTGGCTGGGCCAGTTGGCATTTCTGTGTGGAGTTTGCATGGCGTGGATTTCCAAAGACATGTGCTATAGGTGAATTGAATAAACTAAACTGTCCATAGTGCATGTGTGTGAGAAAGTGTATGGGTGTTTCCCAGTACTGAGTTGCGGCTGGAAGAGAATCCGCCGTTTAAATCATGTGCTGGAATAGCTGGCGGTTCATTCCACTGTGGTGACCTGTGATGAATAAAGAGGCTAAGCTGAAGGAAATTGAATGAATGTTCAATTTCTTGAACAGACCGATCGGTTTGCTTCATAAGATTTCAATCATCAGGTGTGCCATCTAGCTGGCTAGCGAGTTAAATTTCAGTTTAGTTTGCATAAATCCATGGGTTTTAGGTACCACAGAGGCTCTGCTCAGCTGCACCATAATACCGTGATTGCAGCAGAATGATTCCCGCTGCCTTCATGTTACCTAAAACAGTGGTCCCCAACCACCGGGCTGCGGACCGGTACCGGTCCGTGGAACAATTGGTACTGGGCCACACATAAGAAATCATAAATTATTTCTGTAGAAAATATTCCCCCCGCGACTTGGTTTCTTCCACCCCAAACCCCCCCGCCCCCCCCCCCCCCCCCGTAACTGGCTATCCAGCTAATTCATCTTGATTGTAAAGCGTGAGAGCCAGGGATTGATTTGGACTTGTTTGTGTTGGACTCTTATGCTCGAGCATGGGTCAAGATAAAAAAAAATATTACTTTCAGGTGGTATCGAATTTCACAATTAATTTTTTAAAGAGAGACGATTTTAAGGCTGCTTCTCCTGGAAAATTGTGTGTGTGGAAGGTGCGAGAGTGCACCTATCACCCCACAACAGTGCTTAGCTGACAATGAGTCTCATAAAGTGTGCTTTGGATGTAAGGGAAGGCTCAAAAAATGTATGAAAAATGTCTGCAACCGCCCAATATAACATTATTTAGTTATTACTTATAGGTTCTATTGTTTGACAAGTCTCTCTGGTTTGTCGTGGTAGTCGACTAAGCTGCCTCTTCACACTGTTGACCATGAAAAGCTGTAAAATTAATAATTTCTTACATTTATTCAACACTTTTCTGGACACACAAATCACTTTACACATTTTGGGGGGAATCTCCAAATCCACCACCAGACTGCATAACACACACCAGCTGATTAGTGGAGAGGAGACAGAGTGATGAAGCCAGTTATGATGGATAGAAGGCCATGATGGACAGAGGCCAGTGGGCAAATTTGGCCAGGATGCCGGCGTTACTCTTTTCAAAGCCTATCTTGGGATCTCGGTTTAACGTCTCATCCGAAAGACGATGCTCACTGAGCAGTATCGAGTCCCCTTCAATATACTGGGGCGTTAGGACCCACACAGACTGTAGGTTGAGCGCCCCCTGTTGGCCTCACCAACACCCTTTCCAGCAGCAACCTTCACATGTGGTCTCCCATCCAGCTACTGATCGCTCGCAGCCCTGCTAAGCTTTAGTAGGCGACCATGTGAGAGTTGCAGAGAGCTAGCTGCCAGTATTTGTCTTAAAAGTATTAAAAAACTAAAGACTTTTAGGAGGAAAGATGGATACAGTATATTCCATAGGGCAGATTTCTTCCTGCAGATTTCAGGTGCAGCCCATATCAAACACACCTGAACCAATTAATTAGGACCTGAACACCAAGTGATAATTACAGGCAGGTGTGTTTGATATGGGTTGCAACTGAAATCTGCAGGAAGGTGGCTCTCTAGGAACAGGGTTGTCCACCCCTGCCATAGGCCCTCAAGATCAATATGAGATTAGGCAAAGTGAGCATGACACATCCCCTTGTTAAATGCCCTCCAATCGTTGACTAGAAAACGGTCAACTTTGATGGCCTAAAGCACTGTAAGTGTCAAAAGGTGTCAATTATGCCAAACAATGATATTTCACATCACCAAAACACGCCCATAACCCAACATGACTCCGCCCCTTTTATATATCCACTATCATTTCTAGACACGCCCCTCACTGCTAATTGGATGCCAGTGTGTTTTAAGACTCTGTGGTCAAACATCTTGCTTTATATCTCTGTCTGACCTGTTTATTTGCGTCTTTCTCAGCCTAAAGCTCGTCGAGCAGACAGTGAGGAGGAGGTGATGACAGAAAACAAAGAGGAACCGCAGCCCGGACTCGACCGTACGCTTAAAGTAAGAGCGACAGTTCACCAGACTGAAGACGACGATTCAGGACAGATCAACACGGTTTACTGCAAACTAGGAGAGATCTGACACAGACATGCCACCTCACTGGAGCCATACAACTTTGTAGGAAAATAATAAGTTTTTATTTTGTTTTAAATATCTGCATGGTGCCTTATTTCAAATAACCTGAGAAAAAAAGCATTATTAAAATGATGTGGCTTTTAAACAGTCCAGTGCACTTAAAAAATTATTGCTAAATGTTTTAAGGTAAACAATGTATATGGGCTGAATTTAGACAAATTAAGTTGAACATTACATTTAATGTGTTTGTTCAAATTCAGCCCATATACATTGTTGGCAACCACTTACTTGCCTTAAAAAGTCCAATTAATATTGTTTGTGTGTCTTCAGCTTATTGTGTGTTGCTTGTTTAATCCAGTAAGTGTTAGTGTGTTTTTATATATTTTTTAAAATCACATTTTGTGTAAAAAAAAAAAAGTATTTGTTTGTTTGTTTTGCTTTATTTATTGAGCACGTTTAAAAACAACAGATGTTGACCAAAGTGCTTTACAAAACAACCAACATACAAAATCTATACTTGTGTATGTATATATATGTGTATATATGTATGTATATGTATATATATATATATATATATATATGTATATATGTATGTATATATATATATGTATATGTATATATATATATGTATATATATATATATATATATATATATATATATATATATATATATATATATATATATATATATATACATACATATATACACACACACACATTTTTTGATCCTTAATTGGACTGGGAGCCAGTAAAGGGATGATAAAACTAGAGATGGTGAGATACTAGAAAGTTTTAGCGGCTGCATTTTGAACCAGCTGCAGGTGTACAATTGAAGCCTGCAAAACTCCTGAATACAAAGAGCTGCAGCAGTCCAATTGACCACAATATCTACTAGTGTATATATATATATATACATAGTGTCTTCCAGTAAAAGAAAAATGATTAATTGGATTTACGGTTTTTTTAAAGGGCTAAATGTTCTGTTCACTAGTCTGAAAAAATCTTCTATGGATCGACTGCAAGTTGTGCAGAATGCAGCGGCGAGGCTTTTACCCAACATCAGGAGACCACACAATACTCCTGTGCTTAAGGCGCTTCAACAGCTTCCTATTTATTTGAGTAAATTTGAAGATTCTGGTCATCACATAGAGCTCTGCATGGTCAAGCACAGCTATATATTCAAGATCTTTTACGCAGTCACTCATGTAGCCGGTGTCTGAGGTCTTTAAGCAAACACGTTTTAGCCATTCCTAGAACTCGTCTTAAGACTAAAGGTGACTGTGCCTTCTGTGTGGTGCCCCCACGGCTCTGGAACTCTCTCCCGCTAGCACTGAGAACTCTGGGATCAATTGAACTTTTTAAAACGCATTTAAACACGCATCTTTTTGGGCAAGTTTTTAACTAACATTATTAGTGTTTCTGTATTTGGATTTTAAGCTTGTTTTAACATGTTTTCTTTTATTGTCCTGTGTTCGTTTTCTTGTTTTCTCTTATTGTAAAGCCCTTTGTGACTCAATGTCTGGGAAAGGTGCTAAATAAATAATCCTTTAAACCAGTGGTTCTTAAACTTTTTTCACCAAGTACCACCTCAGAAAAAAATTGTCTCTCCAAGTACTACCATAATGACCAAATACAGTAACATGAACAATACATGAAATACAGTAGCGTGGTAGCCCTAGTAAAGCAGCTACAGCGCTGCAGTTTAAAATCGTGACAGATTAATACTATTATTAACAATATATATTATTATCTGCCACTTTAAACATTATAAATACGTTGAACATTGACATTGTACTGTGCTTAAATGTAAAAAATCGAACAAACAAACTAAATAAAATGTCAACGTTCAAATTAAAAATTGCATCTAAAAGTTCTTTAAAAATGGTAGGCTCCTGTTCTGAAAAAGTAAAAAAAAAAAAAAAAAACTCCTGTATTTAAATGTAAAGTGTTAAGTAACCTATTCATCAAAACCTGGAAATGTTGCTTGGACCTCATAAATATAGGCTATATGTCATTATATTCATATATATATGAACCATTTTTTGATTATTTTGAAATATATGTTGCATGTACATATGACATTAGTATTGGATTCCTCCGCGTACCGCTTGAAGGAAGCCCGCGTACCACTAGTGGTACACATACCACATTTTGAGAACCACTGCATTAAACCTTTAAAGTAAACAAAGAAATTAAAGTTGAACATTTCTAAATTGAATTTGTTTGTTTAAATTCAGCCCTTATGAACTGTTTGCAACCACTTACCTTAAGAAACTTGAGTGAATCCAATGAAAATATTTTGATGGCAGTGCTGTACACCCAATGCTCTCATTCCAGTTTGTAGCTTTTTGATTTAATGGCTACTTCATATGAATTTCTACACTCTTATTAATACATTTTAGAATGATTTGCTCGTTTCTCAATGACGGTTAGGGGCGGGGTTTGGTTTGGTGATACGCCTACTTTTAAAAATCATTAATTTCTGTACGACTAAACTACCACTAAATTAGCCACAAAACTGACAAAATGAGCTTTGTAAACCCCATACTGACAACTTATTGTGCTGTGAATGTTTTTTTTTTCTCATAATGAATCTTCCTTCGTTATAAAAACTGAGATCTCTTTTATCCATGAATGCTGTTATTGTAATGTAACGTTAATAGATTAGTTTTATTTTTGTAAAATAAAGACATTATTTTTGCTTGCTTGTTGTTTGTGTCACTTGATTTGTCTTCATTTAAAGGAGACCTATCATGCTCCATGTTTTTTTTTTTTTTTTTTTACAAAGTATAAAACAAGTTACTGATATCCCTAGAGTACGCATAAATTTAGAGTGTGTAAAAATCTTTCTAGAAAGACCTACCACGAGCTCTGCGCCTCTGTATTATTTATGTTTGTTGTAGCATCGTGTTTAACTGTAAATGCAGAGCGCTGGTTGAATATTCCACACACATGTAGGATAATGTAGGAAACTGGCTTTAGCAGGTTTTGGATTTTTGAATCTGCATGCTTTAAAGCAGTGGTTTTCCTACGTTTTTTATTTTTTTTGTCTGAGACCCCCTTTTCCCCTGGAAAATATTGTAAGGCCCGCTCCACATTGATTGATATTATAGCTCATAAGTTTGCAGTAGGTATGACAAATTTGTTTTGTTTTCAAACAAACAGTGTTTATTACTATATCTACATACAGTTGAGGTCAGAATTATTAGCCCCCCTTTGAATTTCTCTTTTAAATATTTCCAAAATGATGTTTAACAGAGCAAGGAAATTTTCACAGTATGTCTGATAATATTTTTTCTTCTGGCGAAAGTCTTATTTGTTTTATTTTGGCAAGAATGAAAGCAGTTTTTTATTTTTTAAACACCATTTTAAGGTCTAAATTTAAGCTATTTATTTTCCAATAGTCTACAGAACAAACCATCATTATACAATAACTTGCCTAATCACCTTAACCTGCCTAGTTAACCTAATTAACCTAGTTAAGTCACTTTAAGCTGTATAGAAGTGTCTTAAAAAATATCTAGTCAAATATTATTTACTGTCATCATGGCAAAGATAAAATAAATCAGTTATCAGAGATGAGATATTAAAACTATTATGATTAGAAATGTGTTGAAGAAATATTTCCTCCGTTAAACAGAAAACAATAAACAGGGGGGCTAATAATTTTGACTATGTTCATGTACAATATTAGCCTAATGCAAAATATAAAAGCAAAACATTAGTAGGCCATTTGTATTTGGTACACCTTGCAGTATTTAGAATGAGTTGTCTGCAAATGCCTTATTAATTTGGACGGCCTCATGCATTCGTTAGCAAGAACATTGGTGCAGATAATGCACTGTGGCTGTGTCAGGGACTCTTTGCTTCTAGAAAATGGAATAAAACCATAGTTCAGGTAACTGTCTTGGTATTTCCTGCATTTTGTGTTTCCGGTATTGCTAGCAATGTGACCTGTTTGGAGCTTCTTCACCTCTTTTCAAAAGAGGGCGGAGCTACAAATGCCTGTGTGTCAGCATAGTGGCAGATTCAAAAAACAAGATTAACATCCTATCTAGGAAGAGATGGTCACTAGTGGGCGGGGCTTTCACACTTTGATGACATCATAGAAAGGGAGAATGTCAATCAAAGCGTTTCTGCAGACTGTTTATATCAAGAGTGATTATAAACAAATAGATTTCATTAACTTTTGCCATTAGAGGCTGGCTATATTCACAGACTGTTGCCTCACAACTGTGTTTAAACCCCTTACAAATGAGATTTTTGCATGATAGGTACCCTTCAAGTCATAATGAGAATACAATGAACTGATATATACAGTATACTGGTAAAAAGGTTTCATGAAATTACAGTGTAGCCAACTTTAGCAGAAGAAGATGTGGTTTTTACAGTCAGAACACAAATGTTCATAACCCCAGGTGCTCAACAAGCTTTCATAAAATGTCATAGTGAAAACTCTGAATGTATTATGTAGGTTATGTGAAATGGTTAGACATGCACATCTCACTGAGTCAATTCTGAGACTATGATTCATTTAAGAATGTGTGTAAACTCTTATGCAGTTAAAAATCCTGTTTTTACAACTGCAGAATGTTGGAGAGATAGTTTCAATCCGTTTTAAATCTCTGTAACTGAATAGACCAACACAAATCACGAATGATTTAAAGGAGTTATTATTATTATCATTATTAAATGAATAAAATTAACTTAAAGCATCGGAGTTAACACAACATAGTTAAACCCATTCAAAACCCACTCTATTCGAGTTCTTCTTATATAATATAATACATCTATGAAATACCATAACTCTTGCACATTAAATCACAGTAACTTTTGTTTCAGTTATAACCAGCTTATTTCATGTAGTGATTTTCACTGTTAAGCTTTACAGTGTTATTATTATTATTATTATTATTATTATTATTATTATTACTAAAGCCATACAGTTTTTTGTGTGTGCGTAAATTCTGACACTGTTTCATTGCTGTAATTTTCACTGAACATTTATTCAGGCAAATGAAACAAACATATATACACACATGATATAGGCTATATAAATATATATGTGCACATGATTTGAGTGTAAGCAGTGCATGTGTCAAAAAAAAACATCAACAGACAGTATATAGAAATAAAGCTAAAAGCAAAACTAATTCACAAAGACAATCATTACTACGCCCTCTAGTGTACACGGAGAATATATAAAAATACATTGGGGGCAATTATTTAGCTTCTAGTATATTTACAAAAGTGCTGTTGTCTCTTATATAACATATTCCAAATTCTGCAATACATAATATCAGTAAACAAAACAATGAAAGATCTGCATCAACAGTTATAGTTCATTAAAACATTATCTTGTCTCTCACATTTCTCTATGGCAGAAACTGGGAAAAACTGCCAATGAATGAGCCAATATTGTCTCCATATTTCAAATGCATTTTAAAAGATGCAACTGTGTAAACATATTCCCTGTGAATCATGTATTATGGCGCAAACTAGCAGTACATTGATGTGAACTCAATAATTGAAATAGTTAAGATTAAATATCTCCAATACTACCAGCTTTTGGTACCCTGTAAAACCCAAGAAATAGGTAACCCAAACCATTTGATTGCAACAAACCATTTAATTTAAAAAATGAATCCGAGTGCTGTGAACTTAATCCATTTGAGTAAACGAAGCAATTTCAGCACAGTAAATCCCAATAAATGAAAAGAACTCAAACCAACTGAATACTGTAAAGCCCAATAAGTTAAATTTCTGATTGCTACCAAACTATTTAAGTTAAACTAATCTATATGAGTACTGTGAACTTCATTTAAGTTGACGTAATGAGGTATTTAATTAACTCATTACTTCAACACTTGAGTTCAAAACTCTTTTCAAATGGGTAGAATTAACTTCCAGTCAATTTTGAGGTAACTACACTCATTTCATTTGATAAAGTTGACTGTTGGGTTTTACAGTGTATTTTTTTAGATCCCAGTGCTTAGTTTATTGTGTCTCATACAGCTAATTGTCTCTTATTGACTCTTAAATATGATTTTTTCAATTAATTAGAACCAGCAACAATATCTGAAGTGATTCAAATAAATTAAAAGCATGAATTGTGTATTTTTGTATTTGCATGACATTGTTATACTGTCTGTGGTGTTGAGTTCATTTGAACCTGTTTATATCTTCAGTTTGGAGTAAACAGTGTCTGGAGTCTCTCTGCTGTTTTCTATAACAGATGACAAAAGTTGAATTAGCATTGGTGCAACGTAACATCAGTAATGTTCTGATGGACAAACACTCATTTAATATTCAGTACTCATTTCAAGAGTTCACACTTAGCTGATGATTGGTAATAAGCTAGTTTGGCATGCTGTCCCGGGATTGAGCCCCGAGCTCAAAAGATCCTCGAGCCCAGAGCTCCCTCCCGTTGCAGGGCGAGAGGGGAGTTTGACACGGGTAGATCTCACCTCCCCTCCTGTTGCGTAAGGATTACTAAGGTGATGTGTTGCTGACAGAATTGAATTTGGTGCTAATTTGGTTTAGTCAATTTACTTAAGTCTCATGTTTTTGGGAGTGTGGGAGGAAACCGGAGGACCCGGGGAAAACCCACGCAAGCACGGGGAGAACATGAACTCCGCACGAAAATGCCGTCCGGTTGGGTGGATACCCGAGTCGGAGGCAGTTTTTTTGCTGTGAGGCCGCAGGGCTAGCCACTGGGCCGCCGTGCTGCCCTGTAGACAAAAGAGGAGGAGAAGGGGTGGAAGGGGGGATTCTTCAAAACGCAGATGACTAAAGGTAGGATGTTTGGTTATTTATACTGGGTTAGGAATAGCCTGATTGGTGGTTCGTTCGTTAGCTCGACTCGGGGCCAGCCGTGTCAATTATAAGCATGTGATCCTCTCGAAATTAGATTATGAATAAACTTCACTTATTTAGGGTCATATTTAGGGTCATAGGGTCATATAAATACAGTGCTCAGCATAATTGAGTGCACCCCATTTTGAAAACAAAATTTTTAATCAATTTCTCAAAACAGATTTATTAAACAGATAACTTCATTAAAATAATATTTAATTACAAAACATATTTAGAAATTCAGCAAAATATTGCAAAAAAAAAAAAAACTAAACAAAAAAAACAAACAAAAAAAAAACATCTAAATTTAGCTGTAGTTTTTGAACCGTATCATGTTTTGTTTTGTTAGATAAGCTTCAGATTTGGCTTCAGTACTGACTAATCTAATGTATATTTGTGAGGGGTTTACCTTTATATGCTAAACACTGTATATACTGTACACACATCAGCCGGTAGTTTAATAAATATGTTATGGTTTGTTAAGCAGGGAACATATTTGGCTGCAATACAACTGTTTGAAAATCTGGATTTTAAGGGTTCAAATCTAAAAAATGAGTAAATCCCCTTTAAAGTTGTCCAAACTAAGCTCTTATAATGCATATTACTGATCAACAATACAGTTTTGATATCTTTACAATAGGTAATGTACACATTTTCTTCTTGGAACACAATCTTTACTTATTATTATTTTTGGCATGAAGGAAAAATCGATATATCTTTAGCTGTACAATGCATGGTTGCAACACGTTGTTGTATTGTTGCAAGTTTAAAAAACTTAAATGCATCCCAAACCCCAAACCGCCTTGTGCAACAGGCCTCAGGAGATTTATCTGTGTGTTACCTTTGTCGTCTTTATTTTTCTTCTTTGTCTCTACATTTGCTTTCATTTCAATCTGGGCATAGGTCACATCAGAAGAGTCATTTACACTGTCTGCAAAACAATGAATGAGTCATTCAACAATTCTGTCTGTCTGTCTATATATCAATCTATCTATCCCTCCATCTATATATATGTCTATCTATCTATTTAATACTGTCTATCTGCCATTGTCTATATATCAATGAATCAATCTATCATTCTATCAATCCATCAATCCATCCATCCATCCATCCATCCATCCATCCATCTATCTATCTATCTATCTATCTATCTATCTATCTATCTATCTATCTATCTATCTATCTATCTATCTGTCTATTTATCTGTATGTCTGTCTATCATACTGTCTACCTGCCATTCTGTTTATATATCAATCTATATAGTTTACTGCATTCAGTCTAAAGATCTTAGAATTATTTGTGGGTGATTTCTGAGACTGACCTGAGCGCAGTGTTTGCTTCTTCCTCTCCTCCTCAGGTGTTTGACTGATGTTGTGCTGCTGATGGTCAGCAGAGGGAGACAGAGATCCCACATCTAGACAAGCACACTGAACGTTATGATATACACTGTAAAATATGCTGGGTTCCACACAATTCCTTCATGCTGTCCCAACACGCATCGATTATTTATTCATTCATTCATTTTCTTTTCAGCTTAGTCCCTTTATTAATCAGGGGTTACAACAGTGGAATGAACCGCCAACTTATCCAGCATATGATTTACGCAGCGGATGCCCTTCCAGCTGCAACCCATCTCTGGGAAACTTTCATACACTCTCATTCACACACATAAACTACGGCCAATTTAGCTTATCCAATTCCCCTATAGCGCATGTGTCTCCCAACACAGGGAGAACATGCAAACTCCACATAAAAAAAGTGTCAGCTGAGGCAGCCGAGGCTCGAACCATCAACCTTCTTGCTGTGAGGGCATCGAATTTGAAACACAGTATAGGCTTTTTATGTGCAGAAAAAGGTGGATAAAACCCTTCTGTAACGTGTTTGTTAGCTGAAATGTGTGTTTGAGGAGCAGAAACGCACCTTTCTTGCGCTTGCAGCACCACAGCAGGAGAAGAATGAAGCAGAGCAGAACTAAAGCACCCAGACCTGCAGACACTGCGATGAGCCGAGTGTGGTCTGCTAGTGCATCTATGGACAAAAAATGAGATTAGTCAAGCTCATTAACACGTTTTTTTTTCTACATGTGCAATAAGATTTTGCATCAAAATATTCAAAAACAACTACACTTTAAATAAATGCAATATAACAATCAATATAAATATAATATGTAATGGAATATATAAAGTCATGAGAGCAAATGTTTTATAGTACTTTAACTTATTTAATTAAGTTAATCAGGTTTAATACAATACTTGTGTTGAGGTGTTAATACAGTATCAAAAGTTGAGATGACAAGAAAAGTTAATTTCATTCATTCACTCGTTTTCTTTTTGGCTTAGTCTCTTAATTAATCTGGGGTCGCCACAGCAGAATGAACCGCCAGTTAATTTGATTCAACTAAAAATATTTATGCAGTGTACACTATAAAGCAGGGGTGGCCAACCCTGTTCCTGGAAATCCACCTTCCTGCAGATTTTAGTTGCAACCCATATCAAACACACCTGCCTGTAATTATCACGTGGTGTTCAGGTCCTAATTAATTGGTTCAAGTGTTTTTGATATGGGCTGCACCTGAAATCTGCAGGAAGGTGGCTCTCCAGGAACAGGGTTGGCCACCCCTGCTCTAAAGAATATCTGTTAATGATCAGTTTAGGTATTTTGTGATTCACAACTGTTTTCAGTCTATTTACGGTTGTGAATTGCATTATGGGATGTTGATCTCGGCTCTGTCCACTTTTGATGTTGAAAATACAAGCCTACAGTTTAACAAAGTGACTTTTATTTACAATTTTAGTAGTTTAAAATAATATAAGAAATAATATGTTTGAATAAGTTTGTAAAATAAGTTTGTAAAATAACAGAAAATGTAATTGCAGTTTATTACACTTTTTTTTTGTATCGTAATTTACAATTTCAACCCAGATATATTACTTTAAACCAGTGGTCTCAAACTCAATTCCTGAAGGGCCGCAGCTCTGCATAGTTTAGCTTCAGCCACCTCCAACTCACACCTAATCTCTAGTAGTTCTCTCACCTAGATTATTTGGATCAGCTGTGTTTGATTAGGGTTGGAGCAAAATTGTGCAGAGCTGCGGTCCTCCAGGAATCCAGTTTGAGTTCTATGATTTAAACCAGTGTTGGGTAAGTTACTTTTAAAAAGTAATCGATTACAAATTACTCATTACTACTGGAAAATTGTAATCCGATTACATTACTAATTACAAAATGTAAAAAGTAATCAGATTACTAATTACTCTACTTTGAAGTTACTTTTAAAACGTATAAAATATACCTATAAAATACAAAATAAACTGCAGCTCTTTCCATAATGTAATATTTACTGAGAAAGACTGCAATGGGTTGATCACAGCAGCTTGACATATTCAAAAGAGCTACAGAGATAGTTTTACCAAAACTTTAAATTATCTCATCATTTACTTGTTCCAAACCTGATTGCCTTTTTTGAATGCAAAAAAAGACATTTGAAGAAAACTGGATACCTGTAACCATTGACATCCATAGTATGCAAAAGCACTGCAGTGTTTGGGTGTTCTGTGTTTGTCTGAAGTAATTAGTCTACTGAAATGTGTTTATTTCTTACAAAGATGAATTGATCGGTTAGTTGTTGTCACATGACACACGGTTTTAAACTGGTGCGCCTGGGAAATGTGAGCGCGCGCATGCCGCCCCTAGCAAGATGCCACCCTGGGCGATCACCCACACTTCCCATGCTGAAATCCGCCACTGACTGCAATCAAATTACACAAATGCAAAATGTAATTTATTACATTACTGCGTTCCTCAAAAATGTAATTAGTTCCACAGTAACACATTACACCCAACCCAAAAATACTTATAAAAGTGACTCTTCTAGGTTAAAAGTTGTTGCAAGAAAGATCAAGGTTCCATAACATAATTTAAAACCATAAGTAAATAGGGAAAAATAGAAAATAAAAATATTAATCACAAATTATAAAAAAAAATTAATTTACGAATTGTAGAAGTGTTATGTATTTTGCAGATGAATGCACTTACAGCAATAAGATATACTTGTGTTTACTAGCTGTTTATTAAGTTAAACATAAAAATAGAACTGTAGTAAATAAACTCCAAACAGCGATTTTTGATGACCTTAATCCGCTTGTTTAAATGGAAGTTGTAATGGTCCTTGGGGCCTGGTCATTTTTGATAAGTTAATTTTTTCACTCACCCGACACAGCCAGAGTCACTTCATTACTCCATTCAGAAGAGCCTGATTGTCTCCAGCCATGACACTTGCACTTCTGTGTTGACTCTACAGTGATATTAAACTCTTTCTCCTCAGACTTGTGCTCATTATCTCCACAGTCAAATAAGTATTCCCAGTCTTCTCCCTGTATGTCACATGTGAGAGTGACAGTGTCTCCTCTGGGTATCTGTGATGGTTCAGGCTGAACAGTCAGAACAGGTTTTGGTGTCTCTTTATGAATTGAATAAACACAAGTTATCAGAAAACATCCAAAGAAAGCAAAAATTAGTAAATAAATGAAAGATAACAGTGTGAGTATTTCTTTATAAGTAAGGGTTTTCCCTTAATCCAACATTAACATCATTGTTCTAAACATTGCTTTTAACCACAGGTAAACAAATCAACGTTTCAACATTTTCAGATTGGCAACTTATGTAGTGAAATGAAAACTTTTTCCTACACAGAACACATATCTATATTTAAACTGCATATATGGCACAGAAGCTGAATTAATGTTTTAAATCTAAAAGTAAACATGGAAGTTGCATTAAATATAGGATTTAGATTGGTTCAAACATTCAGGAATTAATTAAAGGTGCAGTTTACCCAAATATTCAATTCTGTTATAATTTACTTGCTCTTCACTTGCTCAAAACCGGTTTGAGTTTCTATCCTCTGTTAAACACAAATGAAGATATTTTGAAAAATGTTGGTAGCTGGAACCCATTGACTTCCATTTGTTAATGGCTACCATCAACCAGCATTTTTAAATATACGTTTTTGTGTTCAATGAAGAAAGTCATGAAGGTTTAAAACCACATGAGAGAAAAGCAACTAGCAAAAAAAAAAAAAAAAAAAAAAAAAAAACCCTTTTGAGAGCTTTTAGTTTTTAGGAGAGCAGACATCTTTTGTTGATGTATTCTTGTGTTATAAGCAGAGATGAACACTCTCAGATGGCTACGCTCAAGATTACTTGGGTTGATTTAAACGCAGATAATGTTTTGTGTCAAATTGTTCCATTTAGTGGCAAGTAGTCCTGTTATAAGCAAAATAATGTACATGGTAGGCTGCTTATAAACATGTTGGAATTTATTCTGCATCTAATACATTTAAAGTCTCAAAAAGAATGTGCATGAAGTCATATATACTGTGTGTGTGTGTGTGTGTGTGTGTGTGTGTGTGTGTGTGTGCGCGAGCGTCTCAAAGAAAAACATATCTGAGACCATTTCTCATCTCAGTGTTCTGCAGCCCCTTCTGTCAGTGTAACACGCAGTATTGACCTTTAAACCCACTGCATGCATTTTAAAGGGGACCTATAATCTATTATGCCCCTTTTTACAAGATGTGAAATAAGTCTCTGATGTCCCTATAGTGTGAAGTTTCAGATCAAAATACCACACAAAAAATGTTTTATAACTCTTTAAAACTATTCCTTTTAAGCTTTAATCTGAATTGTGCGATTTTGGTGACTGTCGCTTTAAATTCAACTGAGATTTCCCCCTCTGATGAAGCGTAGAAAAGAATGTCAATCAAAGTGTTTCTGCACACCGTTTATAAAAAACAATAAATTACTTTTTCACACACTGCTGCCACACAATTGTGTTTAAAGCCCTTGTAAAAGTGATTTTTGTATAATAAGTCCCCTTTAAGAGGTCTATTAAAACTCAGATGTCACTTTCAAAAACAATTTATGATATATAGCCTATATATATATATATATATATATATATATATATATATATATATATATATATATATATATATATATATATATATATATATATATAATTATTTTACGTGCATTTTCTTGCATGTTTTCAGTGGGGAAACTAAAGCACAAAGGCTAAAAAGTGCATATTATATAATTTATCTTATAAGTAATAATGTGTGCCAGCTTTTGTACATAAAGGCACTGTTTTAATAACAGAATTTACAGAAAAAAAATCTAAATATTTATGGGAAAAGCTAATAATATCAAATCAAGTAAAAATTATAGATTTTTCTTATGTTAAAAATTATTGAAATCATGTTTATTAAAAACGTTTAGCAAATTCCCCGCAGTAAATATATCAAACTTTTAGCAGTAATATGTAAGGGTGTAACGATTTATCGTTGTACGATTCATTGCGATGCAAAAATGTCACAATTTGCATCGTGGCGTTATGACGATTTGATTACGATATGACGTCCGTTTTCTCTTATTAGTTGAGCTGTTTGCACGTGAGCTACGTTCCACCTGCTGTCGCACGTGAGTTCAGATTGCAGCAGCAGTAATGTTAGCAGACCAAGATGAGTGGAGCTGAAATAGAGGATGGCTCATCCTCTCAAAATCCGACGTCTGGCAACATTTCGGTTGTACAGTCAATAGGCTCGTTTGACTTGGCCAAAATCTGCGCAGAATGGATCACCGGTGATCACAGCAAGATGCATGCCGGTTAGAAATGTGTCCGCCTTGCCTTCGCCTCGCTCTGATGTCACGCTGACGTGCGCCGAGGCGGGTACCTCGGATAGAGCAGTCGGCCGCAGTTGCTCTCAAAAGACTGCGTTACCAAAAGCATGATGGGAAACGACTGGCTGACGACACAGCTTAATGCTGATTGGATAAGACTGACACATTACACTTTATTATCTTGTTTTACTAAGGTTTATACCTGGATTTGTTTAATACCTTTTTTTGTATTTTCGTTGATAATTAAAAAAAAAGTCATAAAGAGCATTACATATGGTTATGTATTTAGATTTACACGCAAACAAAAACAAAACACATCTTTGTAAAACATAACGTGACCTATCCAATATAACTAAATGTAGCTAATAAATCATAAGGACGTGTGTGTGCTGTATTCTATTTCTCTCTCAGTCTTAAGTCCTATTTGTTGTCATTTTCACTTTTTGTATGTTTGTGTGAATTTTGTATTGTAATTTTTATACAGCAACAAGACACACACACACACACACACACACACACATATATATATATATATATATATATATATATATATATATATATGTGTGTGTGTGTGTGTGTGTGTGTGTATGTGAAGTCAAAAGTAATGTTTAATAGACCAAGAATATTTTCACAGTTTTTCCTATACAGTCTAAGTTTTTATTCTGGAGAAAGTCTTGGGCTGTTTATTTTAGTCTGGCTGGAGTAATATCAGTTTATACAGACCTAATAAGCTTGTCAATATAATTAACCCCCTAAGAATTTATTTGTCAAACAAACATTTGTCATGACCCGTCACTCAAAAGCATCTATGGCTACTTCATTTATAATGTAGCCAAATTAGGTTTCTTGAAAGTTTTCTTGCTGTATAAGCTGTTTATTTTGTTATTCTTTTAACGTTTGTTGAATATACAGAATTAAATTTTAAATACACCCTTTTAGTTAAGCAGTTGAGCTGTTCATCTTCTGTAATTCTGAACCATTTTTTCGTAAAAACTGTGATATTTCTATTGCATCCACTCCCATATTAAAAATACTATAGTAATGTATACTGTAGTGCTTTTGAACCATGTTATAAAATAGCCTATTTAAATTGTATAGTTGCTCTGGTATCACAACAACTATAAACACAACCCAATACTGAAAAAGCATGTTCAAAATGCAATAATATTTACTATCAATCACCATAGTATTTTTTCATGAGGTCATTCGTCTGCGATAAAAAAACGCGAACGAGAACTCCGCCACTGGTGACGTTTCCAGGTGGCTAAACAGCGAGATTCAGCAGGTGTCCGACTTCTGATGTAATTTTTGAGCCCTCCTCTTATTGCGCACGCCTGCTCTCGTTTACAATGCAGCCAAGGCGAGGCGCACCTCAAACGAGCCTATTGCTTTAGACTCGTCCACTTTTTGACACGCAAACTGGGTCAAACATTCTAAGTTTTAAAGTCTTCTCAGTGATTTACATACTTTGCACAGCGACATGGATACCTCCTAATGGTGTTGAAAGAGTCACAGACTGTATTTATAAGGTACAATTCACCCTAAAATATCATTCTGTCTTCATATAATGTTCCCGCCGCAAAATCACACATGACGTGAGCTGACCGTGAGCTGTTGGTTACTACAGAGGGCGGACTTTGATAGACGCGCGCGTATGGCAAGCCGTTTTAGCATTTAAACCTTTGTTCTGACTATCCATAAATATATTTAGCGATATCTCTAATTATATTTTGACTAGTCATAATTATAATTCGACTAGTCAGAATGACAATTAGAGATATCTGCAATTACAATTGTACTAGTACGAAATCAGATTGGAAATATCTGCAAATATATTATGACTAGTCATATTCCTCCATTGACTTCCATAGAAAAATATTTGCAGATATATCTAAATGAGTTTTGACTAGTCACAATTGTAATTAGAGATATCTCTAAATGAATTTAATTAAATATGAATTAAATACCTGGAAATGTGGATTTTTTTGCACACACAAAAAACACAAGTGACCAAGCAAAGCCTTAAGCTCTTACTGTTAAATTCAATTAAACAGAAAGCTTTTTTTTGCACCTTTACTTAAATTGTTCCTTAATTTTGTCTGTCATTTCAATAATATTTTTAAGAAGTTTTTAAATTGTTTTATTTTCCAGAGACAGGCCTGTTTAATTTATTTTCTTAAAGAAGGTTCAGTTTAACAAGTTGAAACAAAAGAAATACATAAAAAAATAGTTTACTTGGTAAAATTTGCATTTCAGTTTAATTTTCAATTTTTATTCCAAATATCGTGATACATATAGAATCGTAAACATTATATCGTGATACACATCGTATCGTAGATATACTTCAAAGAGCCTGTTTATTTTATCTAAGCAAGATCATGTTTTTTTTCACTCACCCGACACAGTCAGAGTTTCTTCATTACTCCATTCAGAAGGGCCTAATGATCGCCTCCAGCCAGAACACTTGCACTTCTGTGTGGACTCTACAGTGATCTTCAACTCTTTATTTTCAGACTTGTGCTCATTATCTCCACACTGAAATACGTATTTCCATTCTTTTTCCTGTATGTCACATGTGAGAGTGACAGTGTCTCCTTTGAGTATCTTTGGTGGTTCAGGCCGAACAGTCAGAACAGCTTTAGGTTTCTCTGTATGAACTGTACAAACACAGGTTAACAGAAAACACCCAAAGAAAACAAATATACTGCAAGTCAATAAATGGAGAATGAAGATGTGTATCTTTTGTTAACAGGGTTTCTCCACAATGCATATAATCATATTGTTGTTCTAAGCCCTCCTTTTAATCCCATAAATAAATTGTTTCTTAGTTTATCTGTGTATAAATCAGCTCTTTGGTTTAAGGGTGCTTTCACACCTACACTTTTGTTTCGGAACATGTCTCGTTTGCCCAGTTAGCGCGGTTCGTTTGGCATATGTGAACAGGACAATCGTGCTCTGTTCCACGCCAAAGTAATCGCTCTGAGGTCGCTTGAATGAGGTGGTCTCGGCTCGATTGAAACGAACCCTGGAGCGGTTCGATTACAGTGAGAAAGCCATCCGATCCGATCGCGGTTATATCACAGTGTTTTATGGATTTGTAATAGGCTTACGGCTATAAGAAGAGAGAGTTATGAGTAGGGCGGGAAGTTTCGCGAGTCTCCGGATGCCCGCAAACGAGTGATGATCTCCCGGTAATCTCGCGTCTCCCTCCCGGTCCTCAAATAGGCACCCTTCTCACCCCTCCCCACCTCATCTCTCCTCAGACACATCGCACGCGTGCACCCTGTCAATCACCATCAAACTGCCACCTCTCCTGACAGCTTAGTGGGACGCTGCAAAATAAACCCTGACACTCTGACCAATGTGAGGAGAGTTTATACAAACGTGACTTGTTTTAGCTCTTTTGTTCCGATTAGAAACTTTGCAGTGTGAAAGCGAACCGCTCCAAGAGCAAAGAGCAACAATGTAACAATTGTAATCTCTGTTTCGGAACAACTGAATCGATTCACAGGTGTGAAAGCACCCTAAATCACATTTGAAGATTCAAACGTGATTCAAGTAGAATTATTCAAAGCTTACACATAACCTAGTAATTTGTGCATCAAATAGAACGGTGAGTGTAAAGCAATCCTGTATTAAATTATTATGTGGCCAATAACAATATAAAAACAGTATCTAATTATTTTATGAGCAAGGTAGCATTATTTGAAGCGGAGACATTAACTTATAAAGCACACAACACACTAACACGGATCTTAAAAAGAAACAAAACTTTATTGCTACTCTATAACACAACATACTAATCTACATAAACACACAAATGCACACACACAAGCAGTTTAAGGAGAGTTATGACTGAGTGGATTCATCTTCTAGCATTTGCTAAGTTCTTAGCTTTGCAACCTGAGGGAAACCATAAAAGCAGAGAATTCCGCTTTTCTTTACTACTTCAATTTAATTCACACCAGTTTCAGCAATGGATAGAAACCTTGTTTGTGTTGCGTTCTGCTGGAATTTTGGTTTCCTCCATTTTGTAGAGTATATTAGCGACCATTTGTGATCGCGACTGGCAAGTCATCCGCTGAATAACCTTTTGCTGGGTGCCAGTTCTGAACTGAGCAAGTCATACACCATACTATCCTTAAAAGATTGGTTGGTGCCTACTTGTCTGAGCTTTGATTTCATTTTCAAAGCAATTCACAGGCACTCAGAAAAAGGTTATTCAGCGGATGACTTGCCAGTCGCGATCAAAAATGATCGCAGGAGGGGAACTTTAATGCTATGCGGAAACTTCCACTACGGGGAAATGTATGGAAAACGCCACAGCGATTGATCCTTACCACGTCACTGGTTAGAGGTTTGCCAGGCTACGGCGTGAGTGCACCAACATCACCAGAGGTGCAGCCCTCCAACATGCCCTCGGGCCCTAACTTACCTTAATTACATCAGAAGGTTTACAGGCTTAGATATATTTTTCGGGGAGTCGTAAAAATACACCTAGTTAACTCTAGGAATTTAAGATATGACAGTTAGTTGGGAAAGCGTGCAGTCCGATGGGGAGAATGCTGCGGAGGCCACCTGCTGCCCAGAAGGGGAGACTTGGTGGAAAGAAGACATATGGACTAACCACGAGAAGGAGGAGTACACATATGATAGATGGTTAGCGGGGAGGAAAGACACGAGCCCACCTAAGAGAGGGAACTAAACCGTGGCTGAGTGAAGCATATGGGATCGCCAGTGGGGGTCATACATAGCAGGCACCTATATCCAGAACGCAGGCTGACCAGCGGGCATGCCAAAAATGTAACGGGCCAAGCACCTGACTCCTCCGCTGAGTCAGATGCTGGGGGCCTCAGAGGATCTACACAGGGTTCGCCAAGCAGGGAACTCAACTGACAGAGCAAGAAATCGCACATATCTCTGTGTTAGAGAGAAAGGCGCAGGAAGCGTTTTACAACACCAAAACAAATTTCTTCATTCACTGGCTCCACTCGCAGATTATAAAATTTAGCAAAGGTATTAGGTGTTGCCCAGCCCGCAGCTTTGAACATGTCTGTTAGAGAGGCGCCGCGTGCTAGCGCCCAAGAAGTTGCAATGCTCCGAGAAGAGTTCGCTCTCACCTCTGGGGGACTCGGCTTGCCCTGGCTCTGATAAGCCAGGGAGATGGCATTCACTATCCAGTAGGCCAATTTCTGTTTGGATACGGCACTTCCCATCTGCTGACCTCCATAACAGACAAAGAGCTGCTCAGGGGATCTAAAGTTCTGAGTAGGGTCTATATAAATACGCAAAGCGTGAACAAGACACAACAAAAAAAGGGGTGGGTCTGCCTCCTCCGAAGGCAGCGCTTGCAGGCTTACTACCTGGTCCTTAAATGGTGTGGTAGGAACCTTGGGCACATATCCAGGTCGGAGTCTCAGGACAATGTGAGACAAAGTGAGTCGAGTGGTTCGAATGGATCTCTGCGCAGGCTTGAAAACACTACAGAGAGATCCCAAGTGGATGTAGATGGGGGCAGAGTGGATTTAATAGCCTCGTGCCTTTGAGGAACCGGATGAGAAGGTTAAGCCTTCCCGCACTGCTGCCATCCACTGCTTCATGATGAGCGGAAATGGCAGCCACGTAAACCTTCAGTGTGGAGGGCGACAACCTCCGCTGCAACCTATCCTGAAGGAAAGAAAGCACAACACTGATCTAGCAAGTTTGCGGGTCTTCTCGGCGAGAAGCGCACCACTCAGTGAATATACACAACTTCAGGGCATAGGCATGCCTCAAAGAGGGTGCTCTAGCCTGAGTTATGGTATTAACCAACACCATCGGCAGGGTAGGGGGTTGTTAGGTGAGAGGAAGAGTTCTGATAACCAGGTCCGGGTGGGCCAGAGGGGCGCAACTAGCAAGACCTGCTCCTCGTCCTACCTGACTTTGCACAGTAACTGCAGTAATCTGGAGGATTTAGGTAAACACAGCAGCTCGGCGATGTGTCTAAATGTGAATGAACTCAGCTGATAAAAGACAATGAGATCCATTCTCTAATTCTTGTACTGCTCTCCCGACAAAAATTCTTGCTGCAGACAAACACCTTTGCTCTATCGGTCCTGACAGCATCACGAAGGGAAACATGCAACAAACCCCGTGGATCATGGAAACAAACACTTTATGAACAGCTAAATACTGTGTGCCGTGGGTCACACAGGGTCTCACAGCTTAGCACTGGCAGGTCTGTCTTGCCTTTGGAAAGCACGTGCAGTAATGAATAATTAAGCAGCCGGCTCTTCTCATAGGATAAGAAAACTTAGCTGTGAATAATAATGAGAAACCGACGCATCATCGTTGCACTTGCAGTTTTGTGCTACGTCACCGATGTGGATCCTGCCCCAAAAATCATTTTAAACCCGGAAGCTGAAATTAGCAGACAAAAGCTCAAAATTATCCAGTTTTCCCCACAATTAAAGCTAACAGGTGCTAACATTGCCTTAACTGATGCTCAACACACACAAATCTGTTAACATCTTAAAAAAAGTACTCCAGGGCAGTGGCGCTGCGTAGGAGAGAGGGGTGTTGGGGGGGGGGGGTGGGGGGGGGTTGGTTGGTTTGGGGCTTTGGGGGCCCCTGATGTATTGTCAAAAGCCCCTGATCTCTTGGAATATGTTGCACTTAAAGGGTCACGAAACACCAAAACACATGTTTTGAGCTGTTGACAGTCATATATGTGTCCCACACTGCTACAAACGCTATTAGGACACCTATATTTCACTAAAAAGTGTAAATTGGTTGTTTTTGCGTTATTTCAAGCAAATTCGTACTTCCTGTTTGAAACGAATTTTTGAAGCTGCGTCACGGTCATGAGATAATAGCGTTGTATTACAGCGTGCAGACTGGGCGTCTGTGCCAGAGTGTGTCTTATTACGTCTTACAGTGTGCTGCATTAATGCATGAGTAAGGCTTGGTTCAAACCAATCAGCGCGCTCTATTGTGCAACTTCATTAATATTCATTACTGTCACAGTGTTTACACGACACAGACGCCAAGTTGAGTTGGCAAAACAAGCGTGAAGTGTTGCTTTTATTGTTTGCTGCAGTTAAGTTTCGTTTTCATTTTCTCTCTGTGAGAGCTCAGCTGGCATCACGTGTGGATTAACAGTGTACGCGACGCTCGACAACAATAACTGGCGTGTCTAAGGAGGATTATTGTTTACCTGAGAGCTGTTCTCATCTGCAAACGCTGAGATCCGGATTCGCTTGTAGTCTCCTCTAAATAAAGATGCGGCTCTAGTTGCTGGTGATTGTCCTGTCTCTACAGATTTGGTAAGTGAGCGAGCAGTGCTCTTTGTTTATTCAGTTTGTTCGTATCGAACTAAGTTAACTATTTCACAGAGTGTAAACATGTTAGCACCACAACCAAACTTTAACCTCGTGTAGGATTTTTACTGCATTTAGTGACCGGAATAACACATGCGGCTTTCTGACGCTACCTGCCGTGTGCATCTAAGTTTCCGGGAAATGCAGAGTTTTTTTTTCTCTCATTCGCCGTGAGGTATCAAACATTGCATAAAAAATACACGCTTAGAGCAGATCCTCGAATCAAATATCACGTTTGTTGCGAGGCGCATGAATGAATTCCCTGAATGAAAGAGCCAAACTGCAGTTAAAGTCCAACATTTAAAAATTTGGCAAATAATTCCACTACAGATGTCCATGTAGGTTAAACACCATCACTTGCTACTGTGTGTGTGTGTGTGTGTGTGTGTGTGTGTGTGTGTGTGTGTGTATTTTGACTCTGAAACTCGCGCGTGCCCAAATAGACACTCCCACACCAAGCCTCTTTTCTTCCTTAAACACTCCCCCCTAAACAGAGCTGGACACGCCCACTTTTCTGACTTTTTCCAAAGTAGAGGTGTGAAAACACCCTGCTGAAACGAGGGGGTTTCATAGCCCTTTAAGTAAAAATATCTTGTTTAACATTTATTTTGTTATCTAAGTACTGAAAATTACCACATACATCACGAACATTCCACTTAATGCAGCGTTTGTGTCGTGTAATTAAATCGTCAGCTGTTCAGCAGTACCTGTTTCTACCGGCAGGTGGGAGGGGCTCTGTTGTCACATGGTGTTAAAAAAATCCCGCCACTGCACTTCATTGATTATTTTGAGGAGCTTAAGCTAATGAGGTAATAATACAACTCTTTCGCAAAACTGAATAGTTTAAAGCTTATTTGTTTCCACAGTATAAAATGTGTGGAGTTTTGGTGAAATAAAATAACTATAATCAGTAAAATGTGCAGCATATCAATGTAAATACATGCGAGTTAGTCAAAAAAACGTAAACTGTAATACCTAATAGATATTATATAGATATCTAGGCATATTTATAGACCTTTTTCTTGGAACGCAAAATTACCCATGATGCTTTGCGTGTATGCGCAAGGAGAATGCGAAGAACTTCCGGTCGGCAGCTGATGCGTGTAAACAGTCACATTTGGACAGCTTTGAAACGATAGTTTTAATCTATTTTACCTGCTTTTATACTCTTTGAACTAATACTGTTGTCCATCAGCACCATCTCCTGGACTGATCATTTAAAGAAATGCGATCTAATAGGATGGAAAACAGCTGCTGTGAGGCATTTTCCCCTCGTTGTCAGACGGCATCTTCTGCAGTTTAAATGGAGCCTCGTCATCGCTAAAGTCAACATTTTCTCTTTATTTCAAATATATAACCAGCCCAAACTAATGTAATTCACCAAAATGTTTGACACACACGTAGCCTGTACTGTGCCACTGACACACTGATTTAATAACTGTGACAAAGTGAAAATATAGGCGAGTGTCATTTCGAAATGACAAAAAAACACAAACCGTGGTGAATACAACACACGAAATAAAACACAAACGGCTCGCGATTAGAATGAACAGCAGATCAGCCAGCAGAGGATCAGTAACAGACTTTTATTGCTCATTTTTCTGTTTTATTGGTCTTTTATACCTGTTAAGTTTCATGCCAGTACTATGGTTTGCTCTCTGTCTCTCTCGCTCCCTTTCTCTTTCTCTCTCTCTCTCTCTCTCTCTCTCTGTGTGTGTGTGTGTGTGTTAAAGAGCCGCTGAGCTAACAGCTGACAGGCCGGGAACACACAAACACACTGTATTTCTGACGGCAGACACGTGAACTAGGAGAACGTTTTTCTCGTATTTCTGGCGTGCTTGAACCACATGTGACAGATTATAACGGCTTTAACAGACACATTTCTAAGTTGTGTGTCACAAAAACACTCTGTTATCCAATAAAAACGTTATTGAAACCCATTTTCGGAGAGCAAATCAATAGTTGTACAAGCTGTAAACGGAAGTTTTTAGCATTCTACCGGAAGACGCTGGTTGCTATGGTGCCCTCCATGCAGCAGCCATGAAAAAGGTCTTTATGATATAGCAAGTCATATCTGTTTCTGTAATAGTTAAATCACAGTGAGTTTACGCATCTAGCTTATTACTGTATAGCTATATTCTACTGTAACATGCTATGTCAGTTAGCATCGAATTATAAATCGGCTTTCTTATGAAAATACCTATTACGGTTGGAAGAACACATACAGTTGAAATCTGAATTATTAGTCCCCGTTTATTTTTTTCCCCAATTTCTGTTTAACGGAGAGAAAATTGTTTTCAACACATTTCTAAGAATAATAGTTTTAATAACTCATCTCTAATAACTGATTTATTTCATCTTTGCCATGATGACAGTAAATAATACTAGACTAGACATTTTTTAAGGCACTTCTATACAGCTTAAAGTGACATTTAAAGGCTTTAAAGGCAGGTTAGGGTAATTAGGCAAGTTATTGTATAACGATGGTTTGTTCTGTAGACTATAGGAAAAATATAGCTTAAAGGGGCTGAAAATTTTGACCCTAAATTTTTTTTTAAAAATGTAAAACTGCTTTTATTCAAGCTGAAATAACACAAATAAGACTTTCTTCAAAATGAAAATATTATCAGATATAGGCTACTGTGAAAATTTTCTTGCTCTGTTAAACATCATTTGGGAAATATTTTTAAAAAAAATTATTCAAAGGAGCTAATAATTCTGACTTCAACTGTATAAAACATTTATTGCCGCAGTCGTGTAAATGATCAGTTAAAGCCTTTTTATGTTTATTCAGATCTTATTTTCATTCCACTACAGCAATAGCTGGATGCCTTCACCCATATTAGGGATTTCCTAGAATGTTCTACTTTTGTGAGGCAAATATGGAATTTCTGCTCAATGAATGAATGAAACGAGCATTACATGCATTTAAAGTGCTACACCACCCACATCAACCCTATTTTGAGGAAAACTGAAAAAAAAATTTCCTCTGAAGAAATTTAAAGTAAACATATTTCTAGCATATAGATCTTAATTTTTATTTTTATTAATTTTTTATATTTTTATTTTTGTACTATTTTTGATAAAGTTGTTATTATGTCAAAAATAGTAGCCTATTGAATATCAATATTTTGCAAGGTATTGAACTAAGAAATTCCAGTATCTTGACAACACTACACCTCAGTTAATCACTCTGTCCAACTGAACATGTTTATAGCTTTGTTTTACATTGGATAACAACTCACACTATAAAATAAATTATATTTTCAGATTTGAAGACATGCAGAACATTACATTTTCAAAAAACAAACAGAAACTGCAAATCAGGAGGAGATAGGAGGCTCATGAGGTATGATATGGCTCATAACAGACTAGTAAATGGGAAGTGGGTTCATTTATCAATGGTTTTTATCCTATTCGGTGTTACAAGTCACAAAAACCCTTTATTTATTATAAATTATTTTTAATCCTGTTAATAAGATTAGAGTTGATTAGGTATATTAGAGTGGTGAATTAATTTTTTTTTTGGGGGGGGGGGGGGGGGGGGGTAATTCTTTGGGGCTAAGTCCCTTATCCCTTTCGACCCTAGAAACGCCCCTGATCCAGGGTTTCTTGAACCTTTAAAAGAAGCACAAGTCAAATTTTCAAAGTGATTTTGGACACAATATGTGAACAGCCCCAGACCGATTTAACCTGAGAGATACAGTACAAGCACTGATCTATAATAGGTATGTGATTACAAGCCGCGCAGGGTAATTACAACTTATAACACACAATTAAACACATATTTTGCTAACTACACAAAACGAGGCAACAATTTTAATAACACTAGCATGTTATGATTCAGAGAAAGAAGAAATGTGTCAATATAAACTGTAACAGTTACTGACAAAGTCCCATAGTCTCTGCTGCTTTTTCACTAGCAAATGGCTGGCGAATTCCGCGTTGCAGCGTAGGTTATTGTATCAAAAATCAGAAAAATGACAGGAACAAAAACAGCACATGGTTGGCTATACTGGGGTGTTATTGTGAAAATGAACTTTAACCCTTTATTAGGGTTAAACCCACAGACGAATCTCCATGTCAGTGATCGTCATCTTCGCATTATGATCAGTACCGTGATCCCCCGAGCTTCTTTTAGTATCTGAAGGGAAATCGCGTTCACATTTTACCGGATACGCTACTACATATTTGGTGATATACTGTGTTGACATCGACGCGTTCAAACAAAAGATCCAAACCCAACTCAATTTCTTTATTCGACTCCGAGTCGACTATTTCGCTAAAGAATCAATAGTTTTAAACATACTGCACTTTTAGATTTAAACCTCAGCTGGATGTTTTCATTCACTTAGAGCTGTGATACACACTGCAGGGAAGCTTATTTGAAAAAAAAACATAATAGGGTCTCTTTAAAAACAAATTAGCAAGTTGTTTACAGCTTATTATTGACTTAAAGTTGTAAATGATTGTGAATTGTGAGGTTGAGTGTTGTGTGAAGAGATCTCAGTACTCTCACCTGATACAATCAGTGTGTGTTGAGCACTGGTGTGTGTGTTTCGTGATCCTTTAGTTTCTCTTCCTCTACAGCTGTAAAGACCTGCGTGAGATTCATCAACAGAGCTGATTTTGTATTCCTGAGATTCACTGTCCTGAATCACTGAATCATTTTTACTCCAGCTGTAGCTCCAGGAAGTGACGTCTGAATCCGGTATGTGACATGTGAAAGTGACCGTCTGTCCTTTGAAAATACCTCCATCAGGCTGAACATGCAATAAAGCTTTGGGTCGCTCTGTAACACATGACCTCAAGATTAAATCAGTTTTAGAATCTTAAAAGGACACTTATCTCATGAACAGATGCCTGGTAAATACATCATGTACCTGTTACTGTTAACTTGACTGCTGGACCTTGTGTTCCTCCCTCTACAGCACACTTGTACATTCCTCCATTAGAGATCTTCACATCTGTCAATGTTTTAGTATCATCACCAGCTCCTATTGTGCTGAAGTTTGTGTACCAAGTAATCCTTTGTCCAGTAAATGGTCCCACATCACAGCTGAGAGTAACCGTGTCTCCAGTAAACACTGAACTCTGCGGCTTAATGGTTACTATCGGTTTGTCTGTAAAAATATCATTATGACCTTGGGTTATTATACATTTTTCGGTCATAATCTATTGACTACTATTAAAATTGTCTGAACAGTTCTCGTTATTCAGCTTATTTTATTTGTACAACTCCTCCATGTTTATCTAATATAACATTTAAACCCTCAAAAAAGGCACATTACAAAAACAAAAAAATGGAGACTCTTATTATGTCTTTTGTCTGTCTAATGTACATACACATGTGTGATCTTACAATTCCCTTTAGCTTATTTTTGTCAGCTCTTATGAAGAAAAAAACTCAGTGCAATAGCTAAGGGGTACCTAAATGTATATATACATTTATTGTGTACCGTTTTAGGGGTACCTAAAATCATTTGAAGTGGATCAAACATTTTTTGCAAAATGGCTCTAGGACAAAAATGGACGTTGTTCAATAGTTTTAGGATTCAAAAGGTGAAAGATGAAAGGTTTTGATCCCCACAGAGATATCATTTGATCCATAGCGTGAATAGATTATTTTCTCTTTTATTGAACAGAAATTCTCCTTTTTAATATACCAGTGAATATCACTTACTTATAATATCAAACACACGCAGATTCATTTCATTACTCCATTGTGAAGAGTCTCCATTCTGAAGTGTCCGGCCAAGACACTTGCATGTCTGTGTGTAATTTAGACGGATCTTCAACTCTTTCTCCTTAGACTCATGCTCTTTATCTCCACATTTAAATAAGTATTTCCAGTTTTGTCCCTGTACATCACATTTGAGAATGACAGTGTCTTCTCTGAGTATCTTTGGTAGTTCAGGGTGAACAGTCAGAACAGCTTTAGGTCCCTCTGTAGGAACTGAACAGACACAAGTTATTAGGAAACATGAAAAAAAAAAAAAATTTGGGAATAAATAAAAGATGACAATTTTTGCATTTCACGGCCGTTTTTTTCCCCACAATGCACTTAACATTATTCTATTTTCTTTTACATATTGTTTGAACCACATGTTATGAAAATGTATGAACATTTCAAACCTGCAACGAAACCCTATTTTTTTCCACAGTTTCTGTGTTACAGTAAGGAGCCATTCATTTACACAGAACACGTATCTATGTTTACACTGCAGATGTGGCACATAAGCCACATTCAAAGTTTTAAATATAAAAGTAAACAGAACCAAAGTTTGTCTTTGAAGTATTAAATTTCGGAAATGTAAATATTCATAGTGCCTTAATCATGAATGCAAGATTATATGCTGTCATGCAATCTGAAAAAGTCATTGTAATGGAAGTCAATGGGGTAAAAACAGCCACAAATATTATCCTGGGTATATACAGGTGTCAGAGATTAAAATTTAATACATTTTGAAGGGCACATATTTTACCCCTTTTTTATGATTTAATATTAATATTATGGTTGTTCTGAGTGTGCCAGTTTAGGTTCAGTTCAACACACAGTTCAGATATTTTTCTTATAATGTGTTTAAAAGTGTTATGTTGGGGCCGTGTACACAGTTTGCTGTTTTAGGGGTGTGTTGCTTCACATGAAAATTAGTTTCGGCTTCCCGCCCAACGTAAAAAGGGGGCGGAGCCAAGAGCTCACCCGCTCTGTGTTTGCAACAGACAGGCAGAAAGAGAGAAGCAACATGAATGAGAGGATCAGCATTTAGCCATACATGTACAACTCAGACACAGACTGTAGCTCCCTGATTCAATAAAGGATTGACTCTTTCACTGGTGTTTTTCCATGATTTATTTCAGTGCAGCATTCACTTCACTGATGCCGTCGTCAACATCAAACACCTTATACCATAGGCCAAACACCGTACACCTTGCACTGTACGGCAAACACCGTAAGAGCTTGTATACAAAGAGAAAATGAAACCAAATGTAAGCAAATATGAAAACCATATACAAAAAAACAGACATCACTTAAACTCAACATACAAACTCAATACAAACAAACAAACAAACATATTAAACGAAGTGTCAGTACCTTGTTCTCCAATCAAACCAGAAGCTAAACCTTTAGTCCGTAGCAGACCGCACAGCTGGGACGCCGTGATCATGTGCGATCTTCTGTGTCTGTTTATATCCGTAATGGTAATTAATTCAAAATAAAAGACTTCTGGTTTTACACTGAACACTTCATAACATAAATACCAAAAATATCAAATATACATATAATAGAGAAGAGAGAGAGAGAGAGAGAGATAGAAAGAGAGAGAGAAAGTATATACACAATATAAACATATTGTAGAAAAGATGCAATAAAAAAGACACCATGTCAAACTTATTAACACAGACCAAGCAGAGAGTACACAATCATTTGTGACTTAGTATGGTTTTACAGCCAACTGCGTGCTAGTTTTCAAGTGCTGAGCTTGTACACCGATACTAATAACCACGCACACTTAATTAACTTTGACTAAGGCACCGAATGCACCGCTCGAAGCCGCAACACGGCACACCAGACACTCTCTGTGGCACGGCAGAAATATCAAGTGTCCGGAATCATCACGCCACGCCATGCATATTAGAACTCTAAACACAGATTTCCATCAGGGCACACACAACGGCGCCCCAAGTTGGCGGCTGTCTGTGGCGCTCAGCCACCGACTTGAAGCACTCATGGTAATGTTTACTTTCACCGTTTCATTTAGGGAAACTCCTGATGTAAATAAGTAATATCTCTGAACTTTAATAATAAATCTAAATAAAATGCAGCGCTTTCCACCTCCAGTTGCAATGACTTCTGGGACTTCCAGAGCGAGTTCGGTGCTCAAGTCTGCATCAGTGTGTCATCGATATCAAGTACACATCCGGGAAGTTTCACGCGTCCTCCGTACTTGCGGTCTTGAGTATTGGAACTGAACTTAGGCAGCTGATGATGACGTTTCACGAGAACACGAGGACGCAAGACCGCTGAAGAACGCATATTGGGAAACAGCCCACATCGCCCTGGTCTAGGATTCACCCCAGCTATCACCTCATCAGCACCGGATCGCTCACAGCTGGAGCAGTGGCGGTTCTAGACCAGCGTAACTTGGGGGGCCGGGCAGAGGCCACTTCTACTTTTAGGGGGCACACTTTAACATACATCACGAACTATTTAAACAATTATTCAGTCCTTTTTTATGCATCACTCTGCAGTCTTCATAAACATTCATTTATTAATTTTCTTTTCGGCTTAGTCCCTTTATTAATCTGGCGTCGCCACAGCAGAATGAACCACCAACTTATCCAGCATATGTTTTACGCAGCGGATGACCTTTTAGCTGCAACCCATCACTGGGAAACACCCATACACCTTGGACAATTTAACAAATTCACCTATAGCACATGTTTTTAAACTGTGGGGGAAACCGGAGCACCCAGAGGAAACCCACGGCAACACGGAAAGAACATGCAAACTCAACACAGAAATTCCAACTGACCTAGCCGGCACTCGAACCAGCAACCTTCTTGCTGTGAGGTTTTTGTGCTACCCACTGCGCCACCGTGCTGCCCTGTCTTCATAAATAAGCTAATTAAATAACTTAAACTCGAAAATAATCTTCAGTGTTCATTTATTTAAAAAGTAACTTTGTATTGTAGAAGAACACATTTTTAACATTCAAGTACATCAGGCACATTTTTACACCTGTAAACTTTAACAGATGCAGGTGAAGTCAATTTTTTTTTCCCTCCCAATAATTTAAAATTATGTTTCCCAAGTGATCTAAATCAAACCAAGGAGATTTTCACAGTATTTCCTATAAAACACAAATAATTAATCTAAGTGTTATTTCTTATAGATTATTTTTTTAATAAAAGCAGTTTTAAATAAAAAAAACAACTATTTTAAGTCAGTGGTATTAGCTTCTTTAATAAAGAATTACTCTATTTTATTGATCATCTACACAACAAACCAGTTATACAATAATTTGACTAATCATTCCAACTTTCCTAGTTAACATAACCTAATTAAGTCTTTAAATTACACTTTAATCTGAATCAAAGACTAGAATACTTAAAGGGACTTTGTCTGTATACAACTATCTTCCTAAATAACTAGTAAAATATCATGCACTGTCACCATGGGAAAGGTAAAAAGTATAGTTATTATAAAACTTGGTTAGTTAAACTATTATGTTTAAAAACGTGTTGTAATAAATCATGTCCTGATGACTCGTGCTTTATGTCACGGCTGAAATCAAAAACGAATGAGGGAGGCAAAACTAAACGAGTTGAATATGACTTTTACATGAGCGTGACTGAAAACTAAACTGGATCACTGTTTCATCTGTTCTCCTGTACTTGCCGTTTGTAAGTTCAAGACTGCATTTCCTAACGTAAAATTATGTACAGTCAATTTCTGAATAATAATAGCCTCTGCATAGCCGAGCACTTCCTATAATAAAAGTTTTGAAATCGCTATTGAAAACAGAATCCTAATATCATCAACAGTGGACATTTTGATAGTGTTTCACAACATAAACATGACTGAAGTTGAATCGTTTTATTACCTTTGTCAATTTGGGTTAACTTCTGACAAATGCAAAGAACTGAAGTGCGCAGCACCGTCACTGACAGAGAGAGAGAGAAAGAGAGAGAGAGAGAGAGAGAGAGAGAGAAAGCGCACGACACTGAGAGCGCGCAGCCACCGATGGCTGATCTCGCTTCTCTTTGGCGTTTTGACACAAAAATACGCGTCCAAATTTAGGGGGGCCAAGCTTGTTGACACGGGGGCACCGCCACAGATCCAGGATCTGCCAAATAATCTTAGATCATTTAAGCAAGGTACGAAGAACAGACCCCTGTTTGTAACCCAACGCTACTGTGTATGTGTTTTCCCTCTGCCTCGCTACAGTAGACACAATGAAAGTACACGTTTGCAAACCCACCTAAAGAAACAACCGATAATTCCAATTGACGATGATGTGGAGAATATTGATCTTGTGTTGAGCCCAATGAGCCTTACATTAAAAATAAAGCAAGGGTGTTCCTTTGGTGACATCGCTTTGACTCACGCTGAAGATGGCGGACGTGAATCAACAAACTGAGGATATGTTGACGTGCCTGTCAATCAATTTTGCTGGGCGGGGGGATCAGACTCCTACGTAAAGATGCGGTCGCTCTGAAAACCGCTCCAATTAGTCCACCGTTTTTTTTGGTGTTAAATTGAAAAAAAAAAAAAAAAAGGACTGGGTGTGTTTATATCACCCCAATGTGACGGTCTATACACTATACCTATACACGTCTGTCCAAACAGCTTGAAAAGTAGATTTTTTACCATAGATGCCCTTTAGGACCTTTTTTAAGACTCTTTGCATATATTTTAAGACCTCATCACTAGGGCCAGACAGAATCTGTGGATGTTTTTTGCTACTTCTGCAGAGAATTTTGGTAAAAATCTGCATATTTTTGCGGAATTATTTTGGGAGTATGGTAACTAAAAACTGAATAAATGAAATAAAAATAATATCTTTTGAACGTTTATTTAATGTTTAAAATGCAAATCCAATTAGATTCACTTTATTTGGTAAACAAAGCAATCTCTCAAATAATATATCTACAAAAAAATATGACAGTACAAACTGCACTGTATACAAATCAGATAACATTTTTCACACAAGTCAATAATATTACTGAAATTAAATTAAAAACTGAATAAATATAGATTTACACATTTACTTAAGTAAATAAACAGAATCAATGATGGGCTAAAAAACTGCAGAGTTCTGCGCATGCAGATTCCGTGTGGGCCTAGTCATCTCCACTTTAGGTTTCAACCAGTAACATTGCTGACATTTCAACGTGCAGTATATTTACTAAATACTGATTGCAAGAAACAATTCCTAAACTAAAACTATATTTATATACTGAATAAAAATGTTTACAGCCTTTACAGCAGCAGGAATAACAGTGTTTCCCTGGTTATTGCACTAAACAAAGCAGCTTGATGTCAAATCTAGCAAGATTGTTTTTTATTTCCTAAACTACACAGTAGGGATGTGTGGAGCAGCCGGTATTTGTATTTGTATTTGTTGAGAGGGGAAAAGTATTTGTATTTGTATTTGTATTCGAGTAAAATTCAAAATGGCGCAAAATATATATTTTTTCTATTACACTTCTAATTTACGTTATATTGAAAGTATTGTTTAATTATACCCATTATATAAATTATAGATATGCAATATTGGTTGTTGTTTTTGAACATGTGATAAGAAATGTCATTGAAAAGAAAATAACATAGAAGCCATTATCTCATCCATGGTTAAACCAACAACTAATAAAATACCATTGTGAATATTATGAACCCCACCACCACTGTTCTTGTTGAAGGACACTGAATAGACAGAATAAAAACAAATAATACTTCAAAAAACTGTTCTTCTTCTGAAAGAACTTTTTTCCAATGGACAGAATTCCAAAAACTAAAATTAACTAAATAAATCTAAATAAAACCCTGCCCGGGAGATCTGGCAGAACAAAAGTATTCTATATAATACTAAAAGATACAGCCCTGCTATTATCATCTGCCTGCCACAAAAAAAAAAAGACAAAGTTTGTTTGTTTGTTTATTTAGAGATATCTGCAAATATTTTTCAATGGAGGAATATGACTAGTCAGTCATAATATATTTGCAGATATTTCCAATCTGAATTATAATTATGACAAGTCAAAATATAATTAGAGATATCTCTAAATATATTTATGGATAGTCTGAACAAGGTTTAAATGCTAAAACGGCTTGCCATACGCACAGTGGCACAGTGGAGATTTCTCTAGTTATATCGTTTCAGTCGTTTGTTATGCAGTGACATGCAGTCAAATATTTCGCCAAACAGTCCTTAGGGATACGGTGACACGCAGTCAGATATTTTACCGGACAGATCCGCCACTTTTGGCGCGCATAAACAATCATAAAGCTCTCGTGCTGCAGGAATGAGGAGGTCTGCTGAAGGCGCGCAGCTGGCGTGCTGTGAGGAGTTTGCGTCTTTAATAAACTACGGCAGTTTGCGTTCACTGAACAGTAAGAATGATTAATAAATCCATATGAAACAGTCCCTTAAAAGTCACGTCTCGCTTTCAGTTTCGGGCTTTGGCGCGTTTTGCACTGAGCGTGTCTCTCTCTCTCTCTCTATCTCTCTCTCTCTCTCACTCACTCACTCACGCGGGCATGCACTGTGGTCTCATGAGGAAACGCTGCTTTTTGATACAGTGTTTTTCTTGCTCCCGAATACAAATAATTTTTCGAAAATTCGAAAGTATTTGTTCGAATCAAGTATTCGTAAAAACACGCTATTCGTGCCTTTCCGAATACCGTATTCGGGTTCGGCTCCACCCTTACTACACAGCATCCTAATATTCAAAGATTGAAGTCGGGGTTAACTTTAACATACTGATACCGAATTTAATACTATGTAAAATAGCATTAAAGAGTTTTTAAGGACCTTAAATTTCTCTGAAATGATTTATCAATTTTTAAAACTTTTTAGGACCCCGCGGACACACTGTAATAAAAGCAGTCAAACCACCAAGTGTGTATTGTTGAGTTTTTGAAAATTTTCAAAGGATTTTCCCAAAATATATGCATATTAAAATAAGATGTCACCTAAAATCATCCCATTTGCTGAAACGCAGAGAAAGTTGTGGCCAATTAAAGCCTCAAAATCACCCCAGAGTGGATGAAAACGACCCAAAAGCACACAAAGGTTAATTACAGTACATATACACGAGGAATTGATGAGCACTTTTTGACACATGCCTCTGAACATCTAAACTTTGGATGCCTTGATGTCTAAAAGAAGACACTAAAGGTTTGTGTGTTATAGTCCACAGTCTGCAACCGTTGCACTTTAGATTAATTTCTGCCTTTTTGGGGAGCACCTCTTCTTCTGACTAAGTCTGAAGTTTTACTGTAATTCTTTTTAGTAACTCACAGTTTAATTCGACTCAAATTAATTTAGCTACTATTGACTTCAATGTAGTCTGCATAATTTAAACTCTCTCTAATGGTTATTCGGGTTTACTTGAGCATCACAATTTCCTATCATTATTTGGATGCTGTAGACCAAATGGATTGTATTGGTGATGTGATATCACTGCTTATTGATGATGAAATATGAAGGTTACGTTTTCAAATGATGGTCTTTATTGATTATTTGAATATTCAAAACTTTGTAACAAATTTGCATTTAGTTCCAATCCAATCATCTGATCTGATTTTGCATCAGTCTTAAATTTATAATTAAGCTCAAAACGGCTTAATCGTTCAGGAATAAATTAATGAAATTACTTATTTTCATCGTACTGAGGTCCTTGTCTGTCCAACTTTAATCACATTTGCCTTGTGTATACCCTTGGTGATTTACAAAAGTGTAATTCATTTTATTAAACTATTAAAAATACCATATTTTATCCATTACCTACAGAAGATAATACTTGCAATAAAAAACAGCCTTTTGATTTTTTTGCATTGTATTGAGACCCCTGGGGTATTACATTGTTAAAAGGCACCTATATTACCCCTTTTCAAGATTTAATATAAGTCTTTTGTGTCTCCAAAATGTGTCTGTAAAGTTTCAGCTCAAAATACTCTTCAGATTATTTATTATACCTTTCAGAATATTAGATTTACTGCTCTGAACACACTGGAGCTGTTTTTCTTTACAAACATGCTCTGTTTTAGAAACGTTTTAAACTTGTAAAACTCACTCTTGATCACATTTTATGATGATTGATGATCACAGAGCGCTGAACAGATCCTTTAATCCCAGTTGCTTTGCGTACGTCCTGTCTTGTGGATATGATTATATGCGTTACTATGGAGACATTTTAATACGAGGCTGTCAATCAATTCGGTTGGCGGGGAGATTGCACTCCTTCGTGCAAAATGTTCTGTTCAAACAGCTTACAAAAGAGGATTTTCGTCATAAGTGCTCTTTAAAGAAAGATGCAGCAGATGGATTTTATGGCACCAGATTAAACTGACACCTTTCAAGGCAACTCACATATATAAAAAAAAATTAAATGAAGTTTATATATAAACTAATTTCGAGAGGATCACATGCTTATGATTGCTAGCGGCTAGATCCGCATTATCCAATTCACATGCTCCAATCAGACAACTCCTATAACACTGCTATCTTCGTTGACCTTGTCAATCAAACACAGATTTGCTGTTATGGGCCAGGTTTGATCTGGGCTTCTCTGTCTTGTCTCTGTTTTCTGTCTCAGCTGTTGCCTCTTACAATTAGCGCTGGCGAGCACGCATTACCCACCTGTGGCTTTTTTCATCTGATTCTCTACTCTACATATGCAAGCTCAATATTGTAGCTGTTTGCCAGATTATTGTGATTTTGTATCAAATTACTCTGTGTAACTCTTCTTACCATAAATTCTTACAATTTTAATAGCCTTGCCTAGTCTAGTCTTGTCTAAGTGAAGTTAACAGTTTGTTGCCATATCTGTGATCTGCTCACCCCGCTGTATTGAATCCAGCCTCTCTACCCTCTGTGCTCGCCTGCTTCAGCACCCACTTCGCTACTGAAGACCTCTCCTCACCCCGATTCTTTTACCACCCCCCCCCCCCCCATCCCCAGAGGGAGAAGTTTTGTGTTGCCAATATGCAGCCTGCGTTCCCCATCGACAACCGGCGAACGGCAGCTGCCTTTGTTGCTTATTAACAAACATTGAGTTTGAGCCATTTCTGTCTGCGTATTCTGTCCAGCCTTGATATTTATTGCCAGCTCTCGGCATTGAATTGGTTTTGAAACATCTGCGGTCCTCCAGAAAATTTGGATCTCGTGATCACCTTGTGAAAAACGTCAGTTTTGCCTCAGCCGTCCCTAGCTGAATGTTGTCTGTCCTATAAATTCTAATGTATAACATTTCTTTGGAGTATATGAAGTACAGACATGTGCCTTATGTTTTGTACCTGGGTACAGACGCATTAACCATTTTATTTGTAGAGTGAATGGATTATTTTTTTTTTATTTATTAAGCAGAATTTCCCTGCCTTGCCTACTTGAAGAGCCTGTTTATATTATTTAAACCATAACTTCTTTTTATACCAGTGACTTACCCTTCATATCCGACACAGTCAGATTCACCTCATTACTCCATTCAGAAGTGCCTGATTGCCTCCAGCTATAACACTTGCATGTCTGTGTGGACTTAACACGGATCCTGAACTCTTCCTCGTCAGACTCGTGCTCTTCATCTCCACACCTGAATATGTATTTCCGATTTTCTCCCTGTACATCACATGTGAGAGTGACAGTGTCTTCTCTGAGTATCTGTGATAGTTCAGACTGAACAGTCAGAAAAGCTTTATATGACTCTGTAGGAACTGAACAAACACAAGTTTTTAGAAAACATCCAAAGAAAACAAACATAAGTACATAAAAGAGTTTTTCCAAAATTCTGTATTTTTAAAACAATAATAAAATTAATATTGTTGTCATTTTCCACTATAACTGAGTTTTTTGTAATGCAAGATTGAGGTCATCTGAAACGTGACTTTGTTATTAATTTTTTGTCAGAAGGAAATTGATAGAGTATCTGATGTGATTTTTTTATTTTAAAACCACACTCGTATTTGGAAAAGTAGTAATGTAAACAATTGATTGCAAAACAGGGGTCCGTTCTTCGTACGTGGATTACTCAGTTAGCTGCATTTGGCTATTGACGATTTGACACGATCCAGGATCGTTTCGTTCTTTAAAGCTGATCCGAGAGTTGTTGTCACAGCAACAGTTCTGCTAGGTCAGGGTTGTCAAACTCAATTCCTGTAGGGCCGAAGCCCTGAACAGTTTAGTTTCAACCCTGCTCCAACACACTTACCTGTAGGTTTCAAACAAGCCTGAAGGACTCAGTTAGTTTGATCAGGTGTGTTTATTTAGGGTTGGAACTAAACTGTGCAGAGCTGCGGCCCTTTTGGAACTGAGTTTGACACCTGTGTGCTAGGTCAAACTTGATCGGGAGCAGGTTCAGTTCATATAAACAGGATTAGATCGGCTCAGTTCAAGCAAAGATAATACAGAAAGTATGTACCGAGTTCTGATATTTTCTTACAGTAGTAGTTATATACACTTGGGAAAATGGTACATATTTTTTAACTATATATATAAAGTTATAGTCATTAATAAAATAAATAAAGTTATACATATTAATAAAACGTATGCAATCTGCACCCTCGAAATGAAAGTACAAAGACTGCCACCTGGTGCAAAGAGAAAACTTATTGATATGAACTTTTTAGATCGCTTTAGTACAAATTGTGTATAATAGAAATGCACAATATGTGACTTTTTTAAAGCAATAATACAT